TAGATATAGCTAAATATGCTAGTAGATGTAGCTAAATATGCTAGTAGCTGTAGCTAAATATGCTAGTAGATGTAGCTAAATATGCTAGTAGATGTAGCTAAATATGCTAGTAGATGTAGCTAAATATGCTAGTAGATATAGCTAAATATGCTAGTAGATGTAGCTAAATATGCTAGTAGATGTAGCTAAATATGCTAGTAGATGTAATCTGTAGTCACAGTCCATCCCTCGTCCTCAGCAGGCAGTGGTATATTGTCTGTAGCTCTGACAGGTGTTCCTACATGTTTAAATTAAATCCATAATGCTCAGAGAAACTACATTATCTTGTTATGTTTGCACATAAACAAACGCCGTTTCTGGTCCGCGTTGCAAGTCACGCCCATAATTCACACAAGGCAGCATGGGGGATAGGAGTAAGGTGGATAAGCTGCACAGAGCTGGTTTGTTAGGAATTTCAAATATTTAGAAGAAGGTGCTGTGGTCAGATGAGACCACACTTGAAGGTTTTAGGCCATTAAATGTCAGAGTCAAACCTATCACTACTCATCTTGATGAGAGCACCATCCCCACAGTCAAGCATGGTGGTGACAGCATCATGCTGTGGGGGTGTTTTTCATTAGAATGTATCAAGTTTAGGAAACTGATGAGTTAAAGGATGGAGCAAAGCATTAGAAATACTTCAGAAGAACTTGTTGGAGTCTTCCAAAGATTTAAGACTGGGTTGAAGGTTCATCTTCCAGCAGAACAGCACTCTGCTGAAGCAACATGGTTAAAGACAGATCCTGGGATGGTCCAGTCAGAGCCCAGACATCAATCCAACTGAGGATCTCTAGTTCCATTTGAAAATTGTTGGACACAAGCAGCACCCATCCAACCTAAAGTAGCAGGAGACGTTTGGTCATGAAGAAAAGACAAAAGGTCCAGCGGTTAGACGGATCTAAAGAGACGATGCTGCAACAGGTGGTTCTACAGTATTAGGTTTAGGGGCTGACTGCATTTATTAAGTGTTTTTACTTTAATTTTTAGAATTATTGGTTGTCATTTTGTAGTTTTTTTAGAGCATTGTTGTGTTTAATCTTATGAACAATATATTTAAATTTCTGGTTGTAAAGCAACAAAACTGAAAGATTTCTAGGTCCTATGTATCATATGAGGTATATTAGTGGTTAATACAATGATTACACTGCAAACACTATCATATTTTATAATCATGATGATTAACAGTGTTACAGTGCGAGATTAACTCAATCTAATATTCATATTTGTTATTAAAAACAGTCAAACACAATAAAAGTGTTAACGATCAACATGATGCATGGTGTTTGCAGAGTGCTGTAAATGATGATTTTTGCAGGTAATGAGCTGGTTGGACCATGCACAAAAAGCAGGAGGAAAAATGGGTCAAAAGAATCCCCAAAGCTCATTTTGTGCCTTTTGCCCCCACCCTGGGTTACTCTGGCTCGAGGAGAGGGTTATTCTGGGGATTGTCACATAACGTTAACTGATCCTGACCAAGACAAACCTAAATAATGAGACGCACAAAACAAGCGCTGCACCGTGTACCTGGAGTACACAACCACTGGTAAAGTGACAACATGCATTAAGAGAAAATAAGAAGACGAATTCTTTAAATTCGCATTTCTCTGTGTTCTGAAGACAGTTCTCATATTTCACCTCGGGATGCTTTTCATGGAGGTCGAGGAAAGATGGGAAGGGGAATTCTTAAGAATCACTCAGCAAAAAAACCCTCAACGAGACGCACACACAAGCTCTGTGTGGGTCTGCGTGGTGACACCACAGTTGCGTTACAAAAACGAGCCATTTAAACTGATGAAGATTACTCACACTCTGCTTCCAGTCAGGATTTGCATCAATGCCAATAAATATAAAAGCATAATACAAGTATCATTTAAATCCTACAGCTGAAAGGATCTGCGTTATCTCTGTTCACTTCTTAGAGGACAAACTTTGTTCAAGGAGACACCGACTGCATCCCCTTTACTTCACATTTAGAGGAATCGACCAGATTTTATAATGGACTCATATAAATGCAGCCCAGTTCACTCAGTGACGAGCCAAATGAAGTTCTTTACCTTTGAATGCTTTATTTTATTTTATTGGCACTTTTTTTTAGTCTAAGTTTGAGCTGAACAGAAATAACGCCTTATTTTTCCCCTGCCATCAGTCTCCGGTTCATTTAACAGAAATGACTCAACTCTCAAGGATTAATTACTCACTGTGCTCCAGAAAGTGAGCGAGGCCAGGGAGATCACCGGGGTCGCTGAAGCTGCCCACACCGACACAAAGAGCTGCAGCAGACTGAAACACACACACACACACACACACAAACTGAATCATCTTCTGAACTGCCAAAGATGAACTCACACGGACAACACAGCTTGAGCTGACTCAGTCAAAAGGTTTTAACATGATATTGATAAAACACCAAATGTTGTAATTAAAAAATGTGGGAAGCAAATTTTGACAGACGAGTAGAGAACACAAGCATGATTATGTAAGAAGATAAGCGCTTAGACATGTTTAAATACTGTACTGAGTCATAAAAGTTTTCTTATGAGAAACACACTGCGGTATACCCTCGACTGGATTATTAATCCATCACTGACTGATGCACAAAGAAATGCTGAAACTAGCATTTCTTGAAGGAATAAATATCCCAGGACACTGTGAAGACCAAAGCTTGGCCCAAATATCTCAAATGATCTGTGAAATGACGGAGTTGTAGTCATTTTGGTCAAACCCAGAAAAACACTGTTCACTATCCCATTCAACATCATATGAAGTCACACTCAAAGTACGACTTAGAGATTACTCTCATCTACTACCACACCAAATTTGAGCTCAACATCTGTAAACGTGGCTGAGTTTAAGATATTTTGCTTACAGACAAACAGGGTGGATGTCAACAGAACTGCCAAGGTTAGAAACAAAGATGTGCCGCACTTAAAGTACGTCTTATGAATCAGTCCCAGCTACTACCACCACAAATGTCAGCTATCAATGTGTAAAACCAACTGAGTAAAGACCACATTTGTGCGTCCCTTGGCTGCAGCCAGATATAAAAGCATCACCTCTAAAATCTGTGCAGTGATTTATGACTTAAACGCATCAATGACTTTAACACAAAGACAAGAGAAATCTGTTTAGGGTCAGATAGCACCCAAGTGTTTTTTTAAATCTTTTGGCAAAATTAATCAAATTCATTCAACCTTTATTTATACAGGTTAGTCTAATTGAGCCTCGGGGACTCAATAACAAGAGAGACCTGCTTTCAACAAAGAGAGATGACAACAGTAGACCAGTGGTTCCGAACCCTGGTCCACGAGGAACACCATCCTGCATGTTTTAGTTGTTTTCCTGCTCCAACACACCTGATTCGGTGATTTAATTTCTTCCTTAAGTTCAACAGAAGCCTGCTAATCATGATTTAATTCAAATCAGGTGTGCTGGAACAGAGGAACAAAGAAAACAA